AACATAACAATACAAACCTAAAGCAAATTAAAAACAATTAAAGCAATATTAAACAGCAAAACAACAAGCAATAAACAATACACCAAAACACAATAAAACTGGGCCGGGCCAGAGTAAAGGGTACAGAATTAAAAGTGCTGATGTGACAGGTGATATGTAAGGATTATAGGGTAAGTATAGTGTGCAGAGTGCGGCAATCTTAGTTCTAATAAAGTGCTTCTGGGACTTGGTATTGGATTTCCTATTCTGGAAAGGCACATCAGAACAGCCAGGTCTTCCAAGTTCTTTCTGAAGACTGCCAATGTAGGGGCCTGTCTAAGATCTTTGGGGAGGGTGTTCCAGAGTCGGGGGGCCACCACAGAAAAGGCCCTGTCTCATGTCCCCACCAAACGTGCTTGCGACGCAGGCGGGATCACGAGGAGTGCCTCTCCAGATGAACGGAGAGAACGCGTGGGTTCGTAGACGGAGATGCGATCACGCAGGTAGGGTGGTCCCAAACCGTTCAGGGCTTTGTAGGTAAGCACCTGCACCTTAAATTGGGCTCGGAAGATAAACGGCAGCCAGTGGAGCTCCTTAAACAGGAGGGTTGACCTCTCTCATCCTGACGCAAAACATCAGGATGAGTGAACATGTTAGTTGAAGGTGGTGGATTCAATGGGTGTACTCGTCAGGACAAAAAGGATTTAGTAAAGGTAAAGGTTTTCCCCTGACATTAAGTCCAGTCGTGTCCGACTCTGGGGTGTGGTGCTCATCTCCATTTCTAAGCCAAAGAGCCAGCGTTGTCCATAGACACCTCCATGGTCATGCGGCCAGCATGACTGCATGGAGCGCCGTTACCTTCCCGCCGAAGTGGTACCTATTGATCCTCACATTTGCATGTTTTCGAAGTGCTAGGTTGACAGAAGCTGGGCCTAACAGCAAGAGCTCCCCCTACTCCCTGGATTCAAACCTGCGACCTTTTCGGTCAACAAGTTTAGCAGCTCAGCGGTTTAACCCACTGCACCACTGGGGACTCCTTAAAAAGGATTTAAGGCATCATTATTTGTATGCAGCAATTGATTGAATGGATTGAGCGATTGAATGAATCAGGATTAGCCAACTGGACAACAGGCTATGTCTTTTCCCAATATGAGGAGTCTGAGACTGTGGAAGCTTTTGCTGTTTGGATGCTTTCAACTACTCTTCCTACACTCCATAACCTTTGGCTATGCTGACTGTGGCCGATAGAGTCTGACAAAGGGTTATACATGTTTACCTTTGGAATAGCGGTTCTAGCAGCCAATAGTTTCGTTTTGATTTTTGCTGCATATGCCTGCTTTTCATTGAGTGTGTGTAGCTTAGGTGGAGAAGCTAAGCTAACTTACTTTCAAAACATTATAGGGGTCAATAGAAATACAGAGCCCTGTTGCCCTGTTTTCAGTAAGTTGGGGACAGATTTAGTTTTTGGAATGGAGCTAGGTTTGCCCAATGAATTGTTATTCAGACCTCTTAACCTCTGAGGATGCTTGCCATAGATGCAGGCAAAACATCAGGAGATAATTCTTCTAGAACATGGCCATATAGCCTGAAAAACCTACAACAACCAGATCGTTATTCCATTTGTCACAACTTTCACGAGCATTTCAATATTTTACATGGGGCTAAGCCAAGCATGGGCAAACTTCGGCCCTCCCTCCAGGTGTTTTGGACTGCAACTCCCACAATTCCTAACAGCGTGGGAGTTGCAGTCCAAAACACCTGGAGGGAGGGCCGAAGTTTGCCCATGCCTGGGCTAAGTCATCACCACCTCAAAATTAGTTGTTGGAATGACTGCTGTGTTAACAAAGCGATGGGCAAATGAAAAGCCAAAGGTATTAACAATATTTTGTTTTCTCTTCTCCAGAACTTAGTTTTGCTCTTCCTACACCGCTCCACACAGCTCAATTCCCATCCTACGTTGGCTGCATGCGGAACTTGGCGATTAACCGGAACCAGATTGAGCTAAGGCAAGCTGGGAAAGTGAGGGGCTCCGTGGGGCATAATGGGTGTCCCCTCATGTAGCCACTGTTTCTGTACAAGTGCAAAGCCAGGACTAAGGAAATTTGCACCACTCTCCACAAAGGTCCTCTTGTAGCCAGCTTTTCCTTGCTACCAGGAAACACACTCAGTGTTTCATACCGACAACAGGTGCTTCCAGCCGAGTGGGCTTAGTATTGATTTCTGAAACATTTCCTCCCTTGTGTCAGCGGTGAAGTATTCTGAATAGAGAAAGGGATGTGCATAGTGCGTATTTCTAAAAGGCTGTCAAACATACTCACTATAAAATTTTACTGAAAGGTCTCTTCGCATTTCACCAGGTTGAAATGTTCAAGGGACAGGAAGTAATGATTTAAACATACCTGTATATGATTACCTAATTGGCAATTTTATTTTGTAATTCCTAAACAGCTTGGGTCACGAGAACAAAATCTGGGAACAAAATCAGTTTGCAGGCTGAAATAATGAGAAATCTTGGCCACTTGGAGATTCAAAGCCATAGAATCAAAGAGTTGGAAGAGACCTCATGGGCCATCCAGTCCAACCCCCTGCCAAGAAGCAGGAATATTGCATTCAAATCACCCCTGACAGATGGCCATCCAGCCTCTGTTTAAAAGCTTCCAAAGAAGGAGCCTCCACCACACTCCGGGACAGAGAGTTCCACTGCTGAACGGCTCTCACAGTCAGAAAGTTCTTCCTCATGTTCAGATGGAATTTCCTTTCTTGTAGTTTGAAGCCATTTTGTTCTCGCTTTCCCAACTGTCAATAGTTACGCTTTTGGCAACTAAGGAATTAAAGTGCCTGTAATATTTTCCCCCAATTTCAACTTAATGAGCGGAAATCCTGATATTATGTTGTCGAAGGCTTTCATGACCAGAATCACTGGGTTGCTGTGAGTTTTCAGGGCTGCATGGTCCAAACGCATTCTCTCCTGACATTTCACTCACATCTATGGCAGGCATCCTCAGAGGTTGTGCGGTATAGTTTCCAATATACCTCACAGCCTCTGAGGATGCCTGCCATAGGTGTGGGCAAAACATCAGGAGAGAATGCTTCTTGAACAGGGCCATACAGCCTGGAAAATTCACAGTGACCCAATTTCTGAGCAAAGGATAAGTAAAAATGTACTATTATGGCAGCCTGAATGTTAGAAATACAATGAGCTTTTTTTGTTGTAAGCTACATATGAAGCGTAATACATTCCTTAGGAAACTTCCAAGGTGCTTATTTCTGGCCCAAAGCAGGAAGAGGAAGAGTCCTCAGTAGCCGCTTGCAGGGAAGGAAAGGGCAGCTGGTTCTCGCGCCCCTCTCTCCTTCTTGGGCCCAATGCCTTCAATGCTCCTTACATTCACTAACACAACAGTATATGGGTCACTTGTGCACTTAGAAATGTCCTTATATAAATATATATATATATTTGTATATATCTCACCACATGGGACAAAATATTGGTTCTGAAAGGACTTTATAACTTATCAGTATATTGGTTTTAATGTTGGGGTACATATTGTAAAATGGATTTAACAAGTCTTGGTTTCTCTTTCAACAAATGTAATTTTATCTGTTTTGGAGCTGTACTATTAAGGCATGAAACTCTGTAAATCACTGGTACATACTTTTAATTCAAATAAAGTTTTATGGTCTATACTTTGTAAAAAAAAGGCACAGAATGTTCTTTTGTACAGAGTTATCTAATGCCGACGATGGGGAGCGCACTTGTTGAAACAATCTCAGAATCATAGAATTGGAAGAGACCTCGTGGGCTATCCAGTCCAACCCCCTGCCAAGAAGCAGGAAAATCACAAAGCACTCCCGACAGATGGCCACCCAACCTCTGCTTAAAAGCTGCCAAAGAAGGAGCCTCCACCACACTCCGGGGCAGAGAGTTCCACTGCTGAATGGCTCTCACAGTCAGGAAGTTCTTCCTGATGCTCAGGTGGAACCTCCTTTCCTGTAGTTTGAAGCCATTGTTCCGTGTCCTAGTCTCCAGGGCAACAGAAAACAAGCTTCCTCCCTCCTTCCTCTCACATATTTATACATGGCTATCATATCTCCTCTCAGCCTTCTCTTCAGCAGGCTAAACATGCCCAGCTCTTTAAGCCACTCCTCATAAGGTTTGTTCTCCAGACCCTTGATCATTTTAGACACCTTTCTCTGGACACATTCCAGTTTGTCAACATCTCCCACAAATTGCAGTGCCCAGAACTGGATACAGTATTCCATGTGTTTTCTGACCAAGGCAGAATAAAGGGGTAGCACGACTTCCCTGAATCACGACTTCCCTGAATCATGACACTAGACTCCTATTTATGCAGGCCAAAATCCCATCGGGTTTTTTAACTGCCGCATAACATTGTTTAACTTGTTGTCCATGAGGATTCCATCATCTTTTTCACACGTACTGCTATCGTGCCATGTGTCCCCCATTCGGTATCTTTGCATTCCATTTTTTCTGCCTAAGTGGAGTATCTTCCATTTGTCTCTGTTGAATCTCAATAAATCAGGATGCCATGCCAGTTCACACTACAAAAGAAATCTATGGAACAGTTCTCCGAACCCATTTTGTTTAAAATTGCTAGAAATGTTCAACGCAGAAGAGTTCAGGCAGGCTACTTTCCCTTTAATTTGGACAAGCCCTAAATATGTCCTTGTTCCCCATCTACTGCTTTAGTATCATATAGCTAGTACCTGCTATTCTCACAACAGCATTTCTGAGAACTTCATTATGACCCCAAATGGGAAAAATGTGGTCTAGCATCCTGCCTGGTCTGTGCAACTTAGAATTTTACTCTTCAACACGCAAAGGGTACCAACCAGATGCCCGTAATCCACACACACTTTAGAGGAGGAAGATTATTGGAGGATGGATAAGCCAACTAAGGCTTCTGATATAATTGCTGGAAAATTGAGGGTCCACATAATGAGTTCTGCCCACAGAAAAGTTTTCTTTTTTCCTCCAGAAAACCAGGATGCGCACACATAAATAGTTATTTAATCAATTTCATTGTTGTTTTTGAGTATTTCAGATTATGTGAAAACATACAGTAGTAGAAATAAAGCACATAGCTTTACAGAACCAGAAGACACTTCTCACCATTAAGGCTACTAGATCCAAACTGTCAAATAAATCATCCTGTTAGGTCCAGATGAGGCCTCAAAGGAGCATAAAGTAACTTTTGAGAAGGGGTCTTGTAATTAATTGCTTGTAATATTTGTTAAATGTGCCACCTTAGTGATATATCTGAATTAACTCCAACCCCAGAATTACAAGTAAACCAAATCATTTCTTAAGTGGTAAAGAAACACACCCATTTAAGAGTGCAGCAAGTTGGGAAGAAGGTCAAAATACACAGCAGTAGTTTGGCAGAGAGATCCTTTACTTATAGTTTCAGTACATGACGTTACCTAGCGATCCTGCTTTCCTTATAGTTAGTATCTAGGAGGACCCATAAGACACAGGTGGGAGGCCTAATCTAAGCTCATGTCTTCCTCTTCGTCCTTCTTCTCCTTTGACTCTCCTTCCTTTTCATCAGATTTCACGTTGTTTTGCATTGCTTTTGCAAAGGCCTCCACATCTGAAACCAAAGGGCAATAAATTGTAATCTATCCAAAGAAGTTTTTACAAGTTCTCTTCCAAAAATGCCATATATACCAGACATGAGCAAACTTCGGCCCTCCAGGTGTTTTGGACTTCAACTCCCACAATTCCTAACATTGAATGCAATGATCAGCTAAAAGGCACAGTTCAACTAATACTTGCAATCCCAGCCTTCTCCTACATCATAACAAAGAGCCATAAAGATTCAAAACCACAGAAAGATATCCCATTCAGTAGCCACTAGTCCAAGAGCATCTCACTGCAGTCTTGTGATAAAGAAGCTGAACAAAACCCCCTGCCCCCCAAATCACCCTCATCACTACTTAAGGCAAGTTCATAATTAAAAGATGCAGGGCCCAGAGGACCTCCCAAGACCACATTTGAGCTGGCAAGAGGCGTTTTACTTCATTGACAGCCATTAAGTGGCTCCAGTTCCATTGATGGCGATGAAAGAAACTTACCCCCTTTATTTGCTGCATCTACAGCCTCTGCTGGTAAGCCAAACTGACTCATCAAAGGTCCCAGCTGCCCAGAAGCCAAGGCTGCGCTGAACATACTCAGTGCCTGTAAAGAAAGAAAGGGCTAGTTCAAAATCTAAGATTTATGTCCAGTTCAGGTAGGCATCAAATGGCTCGATCTTCTAAAATATATATATATCCCAAGAGGAAGAGGGTGTTAGGGACAATAATCTAGGCTCACAAACAAGCACTGCCTGCCATTTTAGCCAGGCTTCAAAAAATAGCCCCTTGTTTGAATTGTCTAAAAAAGCCAGTATCTTTTTGTAGGCTGCAGTAGAAGTATAAGGTTTCTAGAAATTTTGAACCCAAGGAGGAAAATCCCCCTTTTTAGGCTTTCGGGGGAAAGAAACTAGAATTTGTTTATAAACATCCAGTTCTACACTTTTGAACAGTTCAAGCATTCTTCCTGGTCAAGCTGAGTAGAAAATATTAATAATAATAATAATAATAATAATCATCATCATCATCATCATCTATATACTGTATATACTAGAGTATAAGCCTAGTTTTTCAGCCCCTTTTTTAGGCTAAAGAAATTCCCCTCGGCTTATACTCGAGTCAAGGTTACTTATTATTTTACTCTGTTATTAGTATTATTTTATTACATTTATTATTTTACTCTATTATTATTATTATTATTATTACATTTACATTATTTTACTCTATTATTTTATTACTTTTTATTTTACTCTATTATTATTACATTTATTATTTTCTCTATTATTGTTATTATTACATTTATTACTTTATTATTACCAATATTATTAAATTTCCATTATTTACTCTATTATTATTTTTATTACATGTTACTGCATTTATTATTTTACCCTATTATTATTGGTAATAGGTAAGCACATTTACATTGAAGGAGGTTAGAATAATGGTTTAATCAGAGTTGGGTAGTCTTCTCTTAAATTACAGTTGTATGTAAATACTCAAAAACATTTAACCTACTGATGATTACCAGTACAAGCTAAATTTCTCACCCTCGGCTTATACTCGAGTCAATACGTTTTTGCAGTTTTTTGTGGTAAAATTAGGTGTCTCGGCTTATATTCAGGTCAGCTTATACTCGCATATATACGGTAAATAAAAATGTAATGTTCGTTTGTGGGATTAACATGACTCAAAAACCACTGGGCGAACTGACACCAAATTTGGACACAATACACCTATCGGGCCAACGAGTGACCATCACTCATAAAAACACTGAAAAACACAGCGGAAGAGACTTAAGAAGCCAAAAAATAAAATAAAAAACATTAGAGCTCATGCGCAAAACCACATATATACACATATGCACAAATATATATACACACACAAAAAACACATATACACAGACTGGGCCACAGCAACGCGTGGCAGGGGATGACTAGTAATAATAATATAATCTATATAAATAAAAATGCAATGTTTGTTTGTGGGGTTAACAAATAAAAAACCACTGAACGAATTGACACCAAATTTAGTCACAATACACACTTCAGGCCAATGAGTGACCATCACTCAAAAAACATTGAAAGACACAGCAGAAGAGGCTTAAAAAGCCGTAAAAGCCCCAAAATATACATTACAACGCATGCACAAAACCACATATATATATACGCAAACACACATATGCACAAATATATACACACACAAAACACATATACACAGACTGGGCCACAGCAATGTGTGGTAGGGGATGGCTAGTAAATAATGTTATTTGTACCCCGCCACCATTTCCCTGAAGGGACTTGGGGTGGCTAACAAAGGACAGCAAAATGCTGCGCATAAATAGTACCTAGACCTAAAAACAATAAAAACATGAAATTACAATAAAACATTAACATTCACAAAACACAGTAATAGCTGCAGATAAAAACAGGTTGTTTTTAATTGACACATCCCGTGGCAAGGTGATACCAGCAATAAATCCTCAGACAGCCCTTAAAAATCTACTCAAGATCAAAGCTTAGTTTGAAAAGCCATGTTTTTAAACTGGATTAGAAGGTTTGAAACAAGGGGGCTAACCTAATCTCTCTAGGGAGGACATTCCAGAGCCAGGGCGCCACCACCGAGAAGGCCCTCTCTCTCATCCCCACTAACCGTATTTGAGATGGTGGTTCTCCTGCAAGTTCTCTCTTACTGAATAGTATCATATTTTTACCTGCTGGAACTGTGGAGAAGTCAGCGTATTCTGGATCTCATCTGCCGTCTGTGGAAGAGATTCCCCCGAAGGGAGGTAAGGCAGCAAACGCTCCTGAACCTCCGTATTTGCCAAAATGGGTGCCATTATTTCAGGGGTCAGCACAGTGGACAGATCAACTGGAGAAGAAGAGAGTATGATTATTTTATGAGCTAAAAACCCACCAGGAATTCGCTAAAATAATCTAGAAAGACTTCTGAAAGCTCAAGGTATAATTTAGACACCACCACATTCCCTTGTACCTTGCTGCCCTCCTGCACCCGCTGGCACGTTCATGGTTGCCAGGATGGTCTGGAGGTCGCTCAGCTGGATGGGCTGGGTGGGGCTTGTGGCGGCACTGGTTCCATTTCCTGAGCTCGGAGCAGGACTGGGGCTGGCAGCAGTGGCAGTGGTAGAGGCGGCAGGAGCTGTGGGCGCAGGCGTCACCCGAGTGGAAGAAGTACTGGAAGATGGCGTCACCGCTGCGGATTGGCTGCGAGAGCTAGAAGGGAATTGTTTTATTAAATTAATCTTTGCAAACATGATGCTGAGGTGGGCTTTTTTGGGGGTGGGGGGAGTTTACAATACAGACACTGATATACTTTTAAACCACCCCTTTGGGGAGAGAGGGTGGGTTATTATTTATTTATGCCGCTCTGAGTCGCCTTCGGGCTGATATGGGCAGGATAGAAATAGTGTAACTAAAATAAATAAATAAGTTATTTATTTATTCACAGCATTTATATTCACCCCAAAGGAGACTCAGGGCGGATCACAGAACACATACACGGCAAATATTCAATGCTGTTAAACAGACAGGATAGACAACAGTTAGAGGTATTATGCCAGCATTTTTCCCAACTTCGGCATCCTGGAGTTTGTGCTTGATTCCGGCCACAGGGAGGTGCTGTCTCTCCATCCTCTATGACGAAGAGCCCTTGAACACAGGCTTTCTCCTTCCTTAGGTAGACAGGAAGCTGTGCTAAAGGTCGGGTGCTCACCCCAACCGAGGCCTCGAACAGCCAACCTTTCAATCTGTAAGATCTATTGCTGCTGGTAATTAACCAGCTGTGCTAAAGCCTGGCCATCATCATCATCATTATTGTATTAAAAGAGTGGCGGGAAAATCATTAAAAGTATTTTCTCCACTTCCAGTATAAACATTATTCTTTAATTAGTATCACATTGAAAGGTATCCTGAAGCTGCCGCTGCTATTATGATTATGATTATTGAAGCCCAAGAGTTATGGCTGTGTTTACAACCTTGCCAGTCCTCCCAGATCTCCCTGTTATCCCTTTTATCATCTCTAGCCAACTTTCCCCCATGAGATTCCAAACCTTTGTATCCAAAAATCAAATTAGACCATGGTCTTCTGTATTAGATTGGTACAACAAAAGCTGCCTTCCTGCGGGTTCATCCTAAAGCAACAGAGCTAACAGTTAAGGGGCTCCAACAGGTTTAATATAGTGGCTGTCTGGTGCAGGCTCACACAAGTGCACCTCATTGGAACATATAATGAACAAGAACATGTAAAGTTGAAATATTTCAATGGAACTTGAGCTGTTTCCAGTATTTAGTTATATCTTCTTTGCTATTAAAAGCAATTACAAGCTCTGGATCTTCTTACCTTGAAGAGGAACTGCTGGTTGGAGGCCCTCCGCTTCCTAGAAGACTAGCCAGACCAGGACCTGTGAGGGCACCAAGGCCACCTTTTGCAAGAAACAAAAGAGCATCCACTTAGGCACTGGTTTCCTTTTAGAAAAAAATCTAATACACTGTTATCTGAACATCTTTATCTACTTTAAATGTGTCTGATTTGCAGTACCCATGCATATGTTACAAGATACAGATGTGTGGTTTATTTTCATAATTTCCTTCCTGAGACTAGAGGCTTTCATGTCTTCATCTCTCAGGGCACGTAAGATAAACAAAGGGGCTTAGGCTATATAAACATTGCATCTGTCGCCAACACTCGTTTCCCCAGGATTCTAGCAATCATATCCACTGAAAAATGAAATTTTCCTCTGGGTATATCTGCCATTCCATAAGTAAGTGGCATTTTCTCACTTTCTTATACCCCTTATCCAGTTTGTGACTCCAATCGGGCCTAACCCAGGCAAATGCTAATATTGGCATACATCTAAAAAAGTATCTTACCAAGTCCACCTAAGCCTGTTGGTCCAATCAGCTGCATGAGCTGGTTATGGCTCATGTTTCCTAGAAGGCTTTGCAAGCCACCTTCACCTAGGAAGAAATTTTAGAAAATGTAAAGCATTACATTCACATGTTCTTACAGCTTCCATTTAAAAACCAGACAATGCTAAATTGACACCAAAAAATGAGGAAAGTCACCGTCAAGATTCTGCTTCCCGCCACTGATATGGGTGCTTCATATTGCTTTTTAAGTATCACTTCCTTAAAGGATTTTGAAACTAACTGTAAGATGCAATCTCTTGGTACTTTATTTATTCTTGCATATGCTGTATTAACTCTGTACGCCATTAGGATTTTTTCATAGACCACGTCTGTTTCCCCTTCTCTGATGAGAGTCGCTATGAGCGTTATCAAATAAGATTTCAGGTCTCCTTTTTCCACACCTTCCTTCAAATCCCTGATTCTTATTACATTTTCATTAGTCTTTAGCTCCAACAAGTCCATTTTATTTAAGACCCCTTCCTGGGATTCCTCCAGATTTGAAATTTTGTCTGAATTTTGGTCTGCTTTTTCCTTCACAGACTTAGACTCCACGGCAATTCTGGATACTTTGGATTCCATCAGTTCTTGACTGTTTGAAATTTTAAAAGTATGTTCCATTGCTTTAATTTCATCTCTCAAAAGCTCTATGCCAGTTTTCAGCTCTTGAAGCATGGATCTAATTTCTAGAAGAACAGGATCTGGTGAAGTAATAGGAAGGCCTATTTTTTTGATGCCATTTCTCATAGACTCCTGGCCCATTTTCAGGTCTTGGATCATAGCCCTTATTTCTAAAGAACAAGGTCAGAAGAGGATGCAGTTAGTTGAGGCTTTTTTTTTTTTTTTGCTTCTCGCCTGCAGAGGTTTCTACTGCATAAGGTCATAAATCCTTTCGGACCCAGTAGTATTTTAGATTTTTTTTCTGCATCTCTTATTCTCCATTTGAGTGGAAATCACTTCAAGGTCATTTTAATAATACTCGGTCAAAACAAAGCTGGGAGAGAGGCAACGAGTATAGTTTACACTTTATTCATATAGATGTCTCTTATTCCATAGTAAAAAGCACCAATTTTAATTCATAGCAGTCCAGAGAGCTGTTATAGAGCAAAATGATATATTTCAAGCTGTGGCGTCCTCTTACGTTTCTGCATGATAACAGGCAGTGTTAAATTGCTCTAGTCCCAGACAAAGTTACTTTCCTCATCTCAGCCAGGAATAAGGAATAAATTGTTGTTTTAAATTCCACGTATGAAAAAAGACAGTTTCCAATGAGCAAGTGCTGATTTTAAAAATAAAAGAATGTCCTTACTTTAAAAGCAGTTGGTTGCTGGGGTTTTTTGCTTGCTTGTTTGTTTGTTTTTTTGAAGGCTCTGTCTTCAGAGACAGGTCATGGCTCTCAGCATAGGCTGGGCTAAACATAAGAAATCTCCTCCTCCTCTGTAACTCTAGCAGCTGTTTCACAAAGCCAGTATCTCCTCTCATCCATTTGATCTTGGCATGAGGGTCGACAGGAATTTTTCTCCAGCTGTCTTCACGCTCACTGGAGCTTGCTTTTCCGCATCTTCCACGTTCAGCAACCAAGACAGAAGTGCTAATTTACTCCTTTGGTATTACTGACATTTTTTTGCCTTTACAGAAAATCTACTTTTATTTTAATTTGATGTTTAAATCAGTTCTATTTGAATATATCATGCTAAAAAGTGATCCAGAAAACAAAAGACTGAAGTATCAAACTGTTATATAAATAAAGTTTATGCAGTAAAGGATTCTGGGGTCAAGTCTGTACCTCCAAGAGCAGAAAGTTCATGGCCCCCACTTCCGCTGCCACCCAGAGCTCCAGGCATCGGTGGGTTGTTGAGATACTCATTCACCTTACGGCAGTGCTCTTCATCTTTCTCTGTCTTGGGTTCCTAAAATAGTAAATTATTGCACTGCAATGGAGAAGTCAAACTTATAACATCAGATTATTCCTAGTAAACATAGCTTCTGTTACATAACAGTAAACTGACAGCAGTCTACAGATAAGAGAAGAGAAACGTGTAGGCCCTTGTGTATTGGGACAGCCTGTGCCTCAAGCCTCTAGAGCAGGGGTCCTCAAACTTTTTAAACAGAGGGTCAGGTCACAGGTCCCTCAAATTGTTTGAGGGTCGGATTATAATTTGAAAAAAGCATGGAATTCCTATGCACACCGTGCATATCTGATTTGTAGTGCAAAAACCACTTAAAAATACAATAATTAAAATGAAGAACAATTTCAACAAATATAAACTTATTAGTATTTCAATGGGAAGCGTGGGCTTGCTTTTGGCTGACGAGATAGGATTGTTGTTGTTGTATGCTTTCAAGTCATTTCAGACTTAGGTTGAACTTGAGCGAGGGCCGGGTAAATTTACTTGGAGGGCCGTATCAGGCCCTTGAGCCTTAGTTTGAGACCCCTGCTCTAGAGAGAAGTCAGGGGATGAGTTGCCTCTAAAGACTTTTCAGAGCCATGAGGAGGAGGGAATTCCAGATCCAAATCTGGATACTGACTTAGCCCCAGAACTAGATGATGATGGAAATGTAACAACATCTCAGCCTACAGAGGCAGAGCAGGAACAAGCTCGGGGTAATGGTTTGCCTCCACTCTGTAATCAACCACCAGCCACTCCTGAGCAGACCCCCAGCTTATGTGAGTCACCAAAAGAGCAGAGGAATCAGAGGCTAAGGTTTGCCTTAAAGGAAGGGCATAGAAATGCTCATTTAGCTGCAAGGGAGCAGCAGAGAGGAACTGACAAAGTGCAGTCAGAATCCAGATCATAGATTTCTGGCTTACTATAAAACAGCAGTGAAAGCTACAGGCCACTTGTGGGAGCAACTTACATTCCTGTTATACCCACTGTTCATATTTCATTGAGAATTTCCATAACTTGACCCCTGCTTTGGATTATTGTTGACCTGTTTGCTCCGGCCTTGACTTGTGCATTTTAACTTTGGATTACTTTCTCAGGATTATCCTTGAACTTGGCATAGTGACTTTGGTGAATACTATTCCCAGCTGTGTTCCTGTATGTTGGTATGGCTGTTAACTGACTGTTGGTCTTTGGGAAACCTGATATCTAGGGTTAGCCAGCACACCTTGAGACTAATGCAATTACAGACCTGCATCCAGAAGAAGAGTCGCTTGGATCCAGCTTTGAATTTCAACACATATACGCGGCCAGTAGTACACTGAGCAACTCTCTTAAACTCACAGTCATCAGGAAAAATAATTAAATCCTAAAAATAGAGGGAAAAAGTACACATTCATTCCAAAAAGTCATCACATCAAGTACACATTCATTTCAAAAAATCTCACAGAACAATTAGGAGGGGCTTCACATGTAAAAGGAAGATGCACAAGTTATGCTTTTGTGGAACCTGAATATCTTCCTTTAGTATGATGCACAAATTATAGAGATATACATCTCTTTTACACAAGGATACCACTTTTAATTATCCCTCCACATATAAGGGAGTTCAGATCTACATAAATAGAAGGTTTGTGAATTTTACTTACATCCTCCACATTCCCGGAAGTCCTGTCTTTCCAACAGAAATGAATGAGGGAATCATCAGTTTGCTGGATGTACACAAGACCTTTCCTTTTATCCGGTGTCACAGTACTGCCTTTCAAAGACATTTTTCCTGCACGAAACTCTACCAGGTATTTGCTAGATGAGCCCCGGGAGCCTGGCACCAGGCTTGGAAATAAAGCCCCAGACGACATCCTGGAAAGAGGCAAAGGTTCATTATTATCTCTCTTCCCTCATGCACAGAGTTTTGTTAACACCCAAATCTATAGATATGCCAGCAAAACAATTTTCAAGAGAACAGACTTTTAGAGTTCAGCATTAGTTTGAGAGAGCCTAAAAAAGAGGCAGACCAAAACAGAATTCTTGCAGAACCTAAATCTTCTCAAACAGATTCCTAGTTAAGCTGAATCACTCCAATAATCATTTCCAACCGACAATGAACTATGCATGGCAGGAAATAGTAAGGGACAACCAGCTCATCTAAGCAGCCACATTCTTGTAGATACTGTGTCTTTTCTTGTTTACTTTGCATACAATGAATACCTCTTTTTTCTCAAGACTAGTACCAACTTTTAAATCCTCCTCTTTGTTGTTGGCAAGCTTTTGACAGGATCTAAGATTTAGATTTAATAGTCAGAAAACATTAAGTATAATTCAACTGAAAAGCCGGAATGGTATACAAGATTAATTTAGGCAGTGTCTACTAAGAAAGGGCTGGAAACCCTTACTGTGATGTACCATCTGCTTGGGGCTGAGAGATACATACACCAGCAGATCATTACAGAGACGATTCTCTTCCAGTTCATTCATTTTGATAGAGGCTTACTGATAATTTTGTGTGCACAAAAAGTGAAAATTAGCCAAGAGATTAAAGAAAAAATGCAAGTCCATAATCCAAATATAGTCAGCAAACCCTTGCATTCAGGCTTTGTTTTCCAAAGCAGCTTCCTCATCTG